TGGCCACCCATAAACGGGTCTTTGAGTTATCTATTGCGCCATCAAATCGTTCACCTCGATTATAAGTTTAGCATATTCGAGTACGACCTCCATAGCGTTGAGGCTTACCTCATACGTCTGCTAACTTCAAGGTGTCGCCATGTCTGAGGTCCCGAGTTCGATTACAGGTCAGATCAATATAGAAAACAAACTTTTCTACACTGTCTTGGGACTTAGCTCTGGATGCTTTGATACATTCAATACTACAGACCTGTTATAATATCTTCAATACTACAGACCCGAATTTGGAAACCAACGAATCATTGCGGTCTCGTTTCTTGTCTTCGAGGAATGTGTGGACAGATACATAAATTAACAAATGTCTTTACAAACCCAAATATACTAAGTACCCAAATATATTATGCCGTTATAAATAAAAAATATACATGTTAAATTGATAACCTCCTTTGTTTGAAGTCAGTATTAACTTTGTAAAATTAAAACGTGAACTTACATTCCCAATATCGGTGGGGTATGACTTCTATATCGTTCTCTTGCCGACTTTATCTCTCCCGTATTGGAAGTATTTCTGGAACTTTGATTCTGGGCTCTCCTCATAGCGAAAAGATACTCTTCAGTCTCTTCATCGTTTTCAGAATCACGGCCTAACGAATAATGAACTTAGTAGTAGATGTATTTTACGAAGAAAATAGAGTTGGCATTATCTACCTATATCCAAAGACTTCTATGTATTTGCCTATATGTAAGCAGATGGGCAACAACCCGGGTTTTCTCCTACCGCCCATAATGTACGATATAATATATCTACAAAAATCGGGCAAATCGACAAGGAAGTTGCTCTCGTCGATCTGCCAAACTTTTGACCAAGCCAATCGTGATTTTCCTAGTAAATCAAGAAATGGCGTGATATGCCCGGCAGATCTCGTTCGGCCCAATTCAACGATTTGCCCACGACATAAGTATATGTTCGTTTAAAAGTATTAGATGTAAGTCACTTTACTGAAAAACATAAATATTAAATAATTACCTTTGAGCCATATGATCGATTTCCTAACATTTTCAATTATTTTCTTGGGTTTCATTGTTTATCAATTTTAATATGTTAATATCAATACTAGTTGTGATACTATTAAAATACTATAGCTATTTTAAAACTAGGTAAATCTTAATCTACAAATTTTTCTTTGAATATAATAGCAAAGAAATTTTAACAGACATTTTGATTTCATATCTATAAATCCTTTAATTTCTCTATGATTTGCTACTCTTCGCTCATCTTTTCTGAAACAAAGCCGTACAAGCTGTATTGTTGATCGAAGCCAATAACGAAGAAATTAAATTTAACTAAAGCATGAAACGGTATAAAGGTTATCGTTTATTTTATACTTGATATGTAACTATTGCCTATGTCAGCCATATTGATCACAGAATGTGTTATCATGTAGTTTTCCCATAGGCAAAAAAAAAGAATTTTCATGATTTGCAGTCACCGCCTTACTCTAGCCATGATTTTATCTATCGGATATACTTAAGCGATATTTCGTTTCATTTTACTACTTCGACATGTAGTAGGTACCTACTTTAGTAACGACGAACGAACGATGAAGAATGTCGATTAGGGATTCGATAGCAATGTTTTCAACTTAGTAATTTATCCCGACATGTCGAATAGTAAAATAAACGAAACGAAAATAGCGGCGTAACATCGACAAGATTTCGAATCCTTGGGCTAGAATCATAACTAGTTAGGCGATCGCACCCCTGATCAATATATCCGAAAGAATTTTGTTTTGTACAATGTTAGAAATGTTACCTCTATAATTATTTATAATTAGTTATTTTCCCGCAACTTACCCGCGTAAATTATGCGTATGTTATAGCTTCCCGGAAAACCTTTTTTTTTAAATCGGTCTAGTAGTTTCAGTCTATTCAAATGCAAACAAACCTATGCTCTTAATATTAGTATAGATCATTTATTATGTATATATAGTATGAAAAATAGCGGAAATTTTAATTGTTACTTGCACATCGAGATGAGACTAGATGTGAGGTTCATTTTGTATACAGATAAGGTCCTATTTTATTGGATGGGATGCTATCAATGTTCTTAGTTATTGCCTTGAAGAAAATAATAGGCGTTAAAAATTTAGTTTTCACATAATTTTTAGTTGTAAAATAAATAAAAGAAAGATTCATGTCATTTCGTTTATTAGACTGGACTATTTATTATAATGTATAAACTAGATGAAAAACCGTTCGATTCTGTAGCAAGAAGTACCCTGTAAATAACAATTCAGACTTAATTCGATATAAATTAGTCCTTTATTTAGCCCAATCAAATTAGCGTATTACCAAGGCCAGATTAGCCAGGTAGCAAAAGTAGCAAGTGCTACGGGCCCCGCGCAGTTGGAGCCTCGCTATGGTATAACTAATTTATTATTTTTTCAAATCAGTCTTTAAAAATGCATGAAAATAAATAAGCCACACAACCAACTGCATATTTTTAAGTGTAAACTTAAAACTGACAAATAAAACTAGAGTCAGATTACTTGTATTCTTATTCGGAAAGCAAAGGACGACTTCTGTTTTTGTATTTATTTATAAACAGCCCCTGTTTCAAAAATGCTACAGGTCCCGTTCTGGCTTAACGAGGAAATATTAAAAAAAAAGAAAACAAAAAAGCAACTCCACTAGATGGCGACTCTAGCAAAACTTGATTTTTGCAGAAAAAAATGGACCAAAGATAGTTATTTCCGTTCCTTTTACCTAACGTATTGAATAACTGAAATTTGCAAAGTTCAAAACTTAGATATCAATACAAATACGAAAAAGTACAAATAGAATAAGAGTTGTTTATAGAGTTTTGAAAACTAATTTTGAGACTCACCTACCCCTTTTTGCGCTATTTTGACTGGGCTAAGTTATTAAAAATAATCTAAAAAGTTGGATTCGTTCGATACTATGTCCATAGAATTCCATCGCTTGATGACCTCCAGTTATACTCCATTTATTATATTGAAATTATAAAAAAAAGGGGGACCACAGAACCTTTTTTATACCATTTATATTTGTCGAATGCTCATAAATCTTGTTGATAGATCGCTTAAACGATAGCAATTAAGTATGACTGCTGGTAAATAAATTTATTTAAAGTAAATTAGGCATCAATCATAACAGTAACATGATTATTGATATTTTGTCACAAAGTATATCCTAGAAAGAACCTTATTTAACTTCTGTCTAATGCTATAATAAATGGAGTATAGGTTTAATGAAGCTACAGGACAATGTTGAGATTTTTAAATTGATATTTAGTTTTTATAATTACAGCAGACTCACGTCTCATTAATTCGCCTTGGACATTATATAATCCAAGCCTAGCATTAGGTAGTATATGACTTACCAACTTGATGTAGGTATTTCTTGTTTTTAGCAACATTTTCATTGTTAGGAAAAAACAACAAATTAGAACACTAGATGGCGTTAGTTAAAACCAACGAAAAAGATTTGTCAGTTAAAATGAAAATGTGATGTTCCACCATAACAGTAGATGCACACTTAACTCTTGATTATACTTATCTTTAGTCTCGTCGACGGAAGTGTTATCGTTGTCACGTAGCAGATTAATAAGACTTAGTGAAAAATTACTTTTAAATTAAAATTAAAATTACTTTACCCTGGACCGACGTTAATAGCATACATAACAATTCAAAAACTGTTTAATACGACGCCATGACGAACATTAACTAAAACGTAAGCACAAAATCTCCAATGTCGATGAGGAAACGGCACTAATAATGATTAGGCTTCATGGAGAAACAAGTCAGGAATGAGATATTGAGTAGATTTTGGGAACAGGTACTGGAAAATAGCCTAATTAAAGCTACATGTTAGAATACTTTTTCTTACTTCTTTGATGATATGTTACTGATTTGATTGTCTGAATCATATTGTATAAATTCCATATAAAATTTTTAAAAAATAAACATGAAGTAAAATGAAATAAGCTTGAAGTTTGGAGACAAAGTAAAAGTAGTGCACGACTATATATACTACGACTCACAAACATGATATAAATAAATAAAAATAAAATAAAATCAAGAACAAAATACTAGATGAAGAGAAAGAACAAAATAGGGGAAAGAATTGAGTCATACTTCGTACAAAAACAAAACAAGGGAATTATCAAATAATGCAAGGGCGGCGTGTGAAGAATGTGGCGCAGAAGAATAAGATGACGTAAACCTAAGCTCGAACACAACAAACTAGAAGGCACTGCTTGATTTACTAGACTTGGCTTGACTTATGACGAGGACTAGATGCTGTTTATAAAATAATGTGCTATAACAATACCGAATTTGATAGAAATAACAGGGATGTAGTTGTAATCCATTTCAGAATCAATAGGCTGTGCTATAAACCTTATGTTAAAAAGAATATTAACCAGTGGAATAGTTATTTTTAAAGTGCATATTAATTACCAATTGACAGAAATGCCTCATTCCTATTTTAATCAAAATTTCAAAGATAATTTTTCAGCCTACCTAGATATTAGGTACTCTAACCATAATACACATAGATTGAAGTAACCTGTGCAATGGCTGCTAAATTATGAAAACTTACCATTGGTCAAAGGCAATTTACAAACCTATAGAATATTTTGTTGTCACCAACACTCACTAACTACACCCACTATGTCATTATGCATAGAGTCATCATTTCATTAAGAGTCATCATAAGTTTAACTACATGCTTTCCAAAAGCAACTTCAGTATTAGGCATTTACTTCCACTTTAGAGGCCACAGAACACTAACACTAAACTTATTGGAAAGCCTGGCACATTATATTTCACTATTAAAGCTTTGTTTATAGTCAAGCAAGATCACAATGACCTAATTTTCATCAAAAAATGTTATAAAGAGCACTATACTTTTATTTCACAAACAAGTCACTATCATTATCGACCACAAATTCACTAGGTGTAAAAAAACTACAACTTATGTTGAAATAATCTATTTGCATGTACACACACATACACTACACATCACCTAACATACACTGAATAAGTTATACACTAGAACTGAAAGTTTCATTAAAATATTCACTTATAACAATGATCAGTTAAGGGTTGCTGATACCTCTAGCAAAATACTATCTGTTTATTTGCAATAACAAATTATTGCTGGTCACTACAAATGTGAACTGTCATAACACTTGTCACAAAATTACATGTTGTGTACTGTCACATAACTATGATTACAACCATCACATCACTTCACATCACATGTATAATAATGATAAATGATATATAATTATTATGTTAAACATTTTTCGGAACTTTAAAAAGAACTTAATCTAGATATGTAAACACAAATAAGAATATAAAAATATTCATAAAAACAATTCCCTTTTAAGCAGAACCACCTCGGACAACAACAATGACAAGATGGTCTTCCTTCAGGCTCTCCTCTGTAAGATTGTGACATGTTCTCTTCAATAACTCGGTTGAGAACTGACATGGAGGGAAAGAATATAACACACCTGTTGCTTCAGTTTCTTTGTTTAAGAGTGAAATTACTCCAGCTGCCTCTTTCTGTTTCAAATAAGACACCAAATTTCTCATAGGTCTAGTTTGAATACTAGCATCTTCATTAGTAATAGATGCTGTAGATCCAGCAACCCCTAAGAAGATGGCGTGAGAACTTGAAGTTGCTATACGTTTCTGAACATCATCAAGTTTTGGTTGATCTAGACGAAGCCGTTGAGTAATTCTCAATTGGTTTTTGCCATCTTCATCTTTCATGAGGCTGTCAATTATTTCAGAATCCCCATCTGTAAGATGAAACTTTGTAGGGAAGAGAGAGTTCTTTAGAATGAGGGCCCCATTCCATATTGTGGTAGCTTTACGAACAACCTCTGGTAATGTTCTTGCTGATGCAAGCATCCCTCCACTGCGGCGTGGACTACCATCAGAGTCGCTGTCTGGTGAACGACGACGTGGAGAACGTGATCGCGATCGATCAACACCAGGCTCTCGTGACCCTGAACGACGAGCGCGACCCTCGTACTCTCCATCGGCAGGTGCTCTTCGCCATTCTTCATCTCTGTAGTCTCCAGTACCATGATACACTCCACGGTATGATCCACGTCCACGGCCACGATGCCCACCTCTTCCTCTGTAACCTGGAGCCCCGTAACCATAACCATCATCCCAAGTGCCCTCATATCCTTCGTAACCTTCAACTGGCCTACCATCTTCACCTACTGGTGGAGCATATGTCTTAGGTCTATATGGACCTCCATTTCCTACATCTGCAAAATCAATACGAAGACGTCTTTCAGGACCTCCAAGAGGAAAGCCTCTCATCTCTTTAACGGCTGCTTGAGCAGCATCTATTGAATCATACAAAATGTATGCATGGGCTTCTCCTTTTGCATATTCAATTTTTTTTATAGCCCCAAATCTATCAAATTCTCTTTCAAGCTGAGCTACAGACGTCCAAGGTCCCAAACCACCAACCCAAACTCGTGTAGTTGGAGTTGCTTTCCCATAACCAATTTTACATTGGAATTTTCCAATATATTGACCTGAAAGTTCAACTTTTGCTCTATGAGCCATGTCTAAAGTTTGATATCTCACAAAAGCAAATGCATTGCCAGTTCCTGGCGGAGGACGCTTTATATCAATGTCTTCCACAATGCCATAGCGACCAAAAATACGACGTAGTTCTTCATCGGAAATGTTGATTTCTAAATTACCAGCAAACAATGTTCTGGTGGCTAATGGATCATCTTCAGGCTGTACATGATGCAAATAGTTAGGGAATTTATCTTTTTTGTTTTCCATTTTCTCAAAGGGTGGATGGTGAGGTCGGGGCATATATGGGCGTGGCATGTAATGGGGATGAGGAGGATGATGCATTGGAGGCCGGTGATGCATCGGAGGGCCATGAGGACCTGCCATAGGGTACTCATGCATAGGTGGACGGAAATCTCTATGATGAGGAGGTACTGAAGGTGGTATTCCATAAGCTCTGTCATCAGGAGGTGGCCTACGCCTCTCAGGAACTGGGGACCAAGCATAAGAATAAGGCCGGTCATAATCAGGTGGAGTGATACTCCTTGGCCTGCTCCTATACTCAGATCGCACTGGTTCATAAACTGGATCGACAATAGCAACTTTGTCATACAATATTATCCTTGGTTTAGCATGTTTAGCGTCTCTTGCATCTTCAACACTTCGGAAACAAACATACGCCACTCTTTCCTCCAATTCATGGGATATCTTAATGCTAAAATCACCAAACTTTTTATACTCTCTATACAAGGTGTCCTTAACGATCTCATCTGATGCCTTGGGGTGCAGGGCGCTTACACAAAGAACTTTATAGTAGGGTCGTGTAGAAGATTCTTCTCGTATGTCACGAGAACGAACATAATCATCGCGGTGAGGAGACACGTACCGACCTCGCGGACTCGGTGAACGCACCCTACGCCGCACTCTCTCCGGTGTTACCCGCTCATCAGAGCTATCGTCGTACCTTCCGATGCTACTCCGAGTCCGCTTCGATCGCGGCATACTGTCCCTCGACGAACTTCGCTTCATGTTACGAATTTTCACCGTTATTCGATCTCTATCTCTATCGCTACGCGGTAATCCAATCATGAAAGCTCAGTTTGTTGAACCACTATCTGAAATGCACAACATTACACGTCACTTCAAAATGTCGTCTCGTTCCCGGAAACTAAACTAAAAATCACTGGAAGCTCACAGTAGACAGTACAATGTTATATTGTCTTACCACAACAACTTAGCGAGTTCGCTTAGCACTAATTAATGCACCTACACAACACCAGAGAATTTACCACGAAACCACACAAAGAGCTCTGCGTCATACACCATCTACCAATAAAATCGAAATGAGAAGGAAAAGGAAATAATACAACTTCAAGATGGATGCCGCGTGCTTTTTGAACCATAGAGTAGAGTTCTATTATAGTCTTTGCAATCTATGTAGCCCATTCATGTCCCGACTTACTAAACTACTTTGGATAAACTAATAAATTAGTAAAAAATATATAAATAAAAGGGGCATATAGTTTTTTTTATAAATGAAAACCCCTTATAAATAGCATTATATGTAATTACAATATGGACTTACTCAGTGAGGCTAAAAAATATTAAAAAAAAATAGTTTTCCAGAATAATGCTTGAGAGAATATAATGATTAAAACAAGATTCGTGCGCGCACAAAAAACATATTATTTATTTATGATCTATATGGTCTCAAAAAGCTGTAATCGCGATGGATGACACATACTGTGATTTAATGCTCCACCATGTAAAAGCATACACAGATTTATAACGAGTAATAAATATATATCTAAAGGAGTTCATAAGCGACAGCTTCGAAAACTTGGATAATGACGGTGACGGTAGTCATCTTAATTTCATATACCAACAGTCCAGCACACGTCACATGAGGAACTCGAGAACGTTTTGTTTAGACCTAAATGTGACTTAAACATAAAATTTGACAAAGGTTACGTTTCTCGAGTTTGTCACGCTACACGTGCAGGAACAAGTATTCATCTCAAGCCTGAGTCAAATATGCAAACCCTATTTTGGGTCTGAACCAAATTAAATGTGTACATTTCTCACGTGATTCTCGTCTCAAACGTTTCTCACAAAGGTGTGTTCAAATTATTGCTGTTTTGCTACATTATTGAATAAAAACAATACAGCCTCAGCCGGACAATGATGTATCATCATTATCGTTTCAACCAAGAGACACCTACTGTTGAACATTGATTAATTAAGTAATATGTTGTATTATTCTAGGAAAACATAAAATTAAAGTAGTTAGGCAAATATTTCACTAATGAATTACAATATAGATCTTTATTGTTAACAGTATGCTATTTAGAAATTTAAAGTAGACTTAATTCAATGAAGAAGTATTTTAAGAAAAAAAGAATGAAAGATGCAGCAGTTGACACGTTAAGCTATGCAAGTATGTTTATCTCTTTCTAACAGAGGTATACTGAAGATTCTGATAGGGAGGTAACTAACTGTAACTACTCTTCGCACCCTTTGTGATTGTATTATAATGTTACGCTACCACAATAAAATTTATTCTGTTTTAAAATGCAATAATATACGGGTATAACATGTCTAATAATAAAATATCGTTGCTTACACATACATACTTACAGAATTTATTACTTTGAGAAACAGTTTTGTTCGACCTTTTCACAGGCATGCTAATATGACACATTGATCAATCTTATAGGTTTTAACTAAAAATAAAAAATAGTGGAAATACATGGTTTTATTTGCATCACATTTATTCAGTAAAATATTTTGCAATATAACTGAATACAATGAGGAAGTATTTAAAAAAAAATAAAGAAACTACAAAAAATTTTGTAACTAGATGGCAGCACAAATAGTTGGATCTAAACGTCAATTCATGACGTTAAACCAAAGAAAATAGAATTGTCAGTGTTGTTACGGATCTGATAACTCGGTTTATTATCGTATTGAAAAATTAGTTCGAGTTATGCAAACGCAACTCGATTAAAAAAAAATTATTCAAAGTTATCTTTGAATAAATTTATTTTTTAATTATATTGAGGAAATGGAAACTAGCATAATGGAAGTGAGCACAAAGGTTTTTTTTAATTTATGAAAATCAATTGAATAAATGCTGTGATATAGTTAAAATTTGGCATTTAGCTACGGTATACAATAATATTACCGTCAAATAGTTTTTATAAACAAAATACTTATTCCTTAGTTCGTCTAGGAATTTTTCATTGTAATATTTAACAAAAGTTCAGAAAACAATAATAACTAGGTAAGTTAGTTTTATTGCTATTAGTTGTTTGTTGAATTTACAACAACAAAACTACATCAAGTTTCAATAATATTTTTTATATTATGTATGGTGAATGAATGAATAGGGTTTATACAGTTATTATGCTATTGCTACTGATTTTGCATGTCGACGGCGGACGTCGAGACATGTATTAAGTTAATTCGTAAAGTGGGTATGTGCTTTTTGGTTGTTATAATAATATTGTTAATAATAGATTGACTTTCTAACTCAACCTACTCTAGAAATCAGTTTTAATCAAATATATTATTTACTAAGTAGCAAGAGTAGTCATGTTCTCTTAAAATCTCTGCGGTGGTGTCGTGTGCGTTAGGTCGTTACGTTCTCTCAAATATAGTGTAGTTGTAATTAAAAAAGCAGCCCTTGCTGAGTTTCTTGCCGATTCTTGTCAGTACAAAATCTCCCGCCTTAGTTTTGCGAACCATTGGCAAAGTTTTCTAGTTGACTGAATTAATTTTGCAAAGTTTTCTAGTTGACTGATTTGTAGACTGAATTAATTTTGATATTTATATTAATATCATTCGCTTCGTGGATGCATAATGACACATACAAATACAAGCTGCTTTTTTTTCTTCATTCCAAACCTTTGATTATAATATCCTTCGATTAAGAAAGTATCTTACTCGATTTTATTGCTTTGCTCACAGCAGAACTAATTCAAAATACGGGCAGAATCATCGAAATACGCCGGACACGAACAAATGTACATTTATTTTAGCTCAAACCCTTTTGTATATTTGAGATAAAACAATATTTTTATTTACAATAAAGATCCGAGTATTGATATGTTGGCATTGTATATATGGGCATTGTTGCCAACTTTCGGTGCTAGATCTGGCACTATTTTCATAAAGTCAACAAGAAATTTGAATACTCAATCTATTTAGTGTTTTCAATTTATTTTATGCCTACAGTCAAATTTTATGGGTAATGTCAAAGAAAATGTAATGAAGAGAGAATTTAAAGATGATTAGACGGATGGACGACGTCTCTACATTAAAAAATAAATTAGAAACCTGAATATTTCAATCTTTCCTTGTCTTATGCATGATCCTACATGAAAAAACCCGTTTCAGAAAATTCTGACAGTGAAGAAGAATGACTTTAGATAAGTTATGTTTTTATAATAAAAATAGAAATTTATGTTGTGTTTATTCTTTATTAATTTTTTGCTTTAATGAAAAAATATATTATAAATAACCCCTTTTTTTTTGGATACCCCTGGTAATCTAGCTGTTTTTAAGATGACTTCTAGCACTTACCTTATGTATCGAATTGGCATCACTGTTAATTGCTCTGTGATCAAAGTTCAAAAACAAAAAACACTAAAGGTCCATTGCTGTTTTTATTTACTTTTGCTGGGATTTATTTGGGATATAAATGTAAATATTCCGGTTTTTATTAGATAAAGATAATTGTGAATACTTAGTAGGTGATTATGCGTATTCACAGATACCACTACTATTAACACAATGGATATTTTAATAAAAGTTAACGAGCAATCAAATGGTAGAGATAAAATAGCACGGTTAGTACCAGCAAATGTTAAAATTAAATTTAAACAGTCACATTATCATAATTAATACAAATTGTATTGTTTAGCCTATTCCAGTACACGAGTCGTTTAGTATGGCATCAATTGGAGACAAGAAATGCAAATAAATATTCTGTGGACAGAATTAAAACTTTAGAAGTAACACTAAGTTCATTCAGGAAAAGTAAGTCCTATATATCGAGGTGTGTACATTACATTAATACTTGTAGTATGATGTGTTCATTTGTTTCAGTTTTAAGGTTGGGGCGCTGTGTGGATATGTGCTATGTAGTATTGAATAGTACTCTCATTGATGATCCTATTTTGAGACTCACTCTATCAACAAGTAAATTAGCTCATGCCCTTTTTTTGTATGCAGATCATGTTGTATGGCTTGCAAGAAATGGTTTTGTTAAATCTGATTCTGACAAATGGAATCGCACAGCTAATAAATTTTGGTTGTTATCAATAATAGCAAACCTTATTAGAGATTTGTATGAAATACTGCATTTGATACAATTGAATAAATCCAATTTGTTTAAGCCATCAGAATTAATAAGCAGTTCTATAAAAGGTTTTAATGTATTAGCTAGCGCAAAACATGTTTGCATGCTTGTCAATTGTCATAAAGATATTTTTATTGATACTCTTAAAAATTCTTGTGATCTATTTATTCCACTTACTGCTTTAGGTATTACCAAACTCAGTCCTAGCATAGTTGGGACATTGGGAGCTATTTCCTCCTTAGCAGCTCTAATGACTGTAATAATGCCAATCACAAAATTAGTGCCAGCCTAATATTTTAAAATTAAATATATTAGTACTTAAGACATGTTACATATTTTTATTATTTTTATTTTTACATAGAATAATTATATGTACAGTCAAAAGCAAGTATCAACTGCTTAATTTGATATATTGTGGTAACCTTGATTTGATGTATGGAGATATTTAACTTTGAATTTGAGGCAAAAGTAGATATGATACTTTTGCCTCAAATTCAAAGTTTAGATTAAGAGATGTTATTTTAATGACACATGGATATAATGGATAAGTGATATATTTGTTTTGGGTAACTTGTAATGTCAACATACAATATAATGGGGATTTTATTGTTATTATAGTAATACTTTATTTACAGAAAATAAACAAGTTTTGTAATAACAAAATTATTTTATTCAAGACATCAAGATGCTGACAATAATTTGTTAATTAAAAAAATAACAAAAAATAAATAATGGATGACTGTGATAACCATCCAGTGTGAAGGTTGCTTTACACCTAATTCAGGTTGCTGGACTTGATTGTGGACTATAAGCTCAAGTTTCATAAACATGTTGAACACGTCACAACCAAAGCTACTAGAATTTTTAACATTCTTTTTAACTTCATCTGACCATACAACCTGAGACACTATTTATGGATATGTCATCTCTCCAATCATCACATACGCCACATGTATCTTTGGCCACGCTGCCCAGACGGAAAGGTTCAGAAGATTGCTTCTTTCATCAGAGTATTTGCCATCAGGTCTATCAGATGATACCGCACCATTTCTACAAATGCGGCCCTCGCTCTAGCCGACTTTCCCCCCTCTCGACTTAGTTGTTTAGCGGGGACGGCTGAGCTAACACGGTTTCGGTGTTTCTCCAGAGTGACGTTCATCTCGAGCGTCCCTTCCCTGACTCGGTACAATAAGAATCGTGTTGAAATCATATGCACCCCTGGTAGTGTCCAAATATTTACAGAGGGAATACCTAAGCAAGAGAGTGGAATCCGCCACACTGTCGCCATTAGAAAATTTAAGTTACACGACGCATGTAGCGTATTCCAGGCGGAAATGTTTGCGATTCTGAAAGGGTGCCAACTAGTTTCGCAAAGAAAATACTCAGATGTCATCATTTTCTCTGACTCGCGTTCATCGCTTGATGCCACAGCGCGACAGCGCTACTAGAGGTGGTGAGGGTGATTCTAGTAAAAGTTGATTTTTGCAGGAAACGAATGGATCTAAGATAGTCATTTCCGTGCTTTTTAACTAACATATTAAAAAACTAAAATTTGCAAAGTTCGAAACTAAGACATCAATATAAATACGAAAAAGTACAAATAAATGAGTTGTTTATTTAGTTTCAAAAACTAATTTAATTTTAATCATGAAAGAAAACCGGAAGTGTCATGGAGAACTCAAGAAAGTACGGTAGCGACATCTATTTTGATTTCGGGAACTAATGCTTTTTCTAAATAATTCCTTTATGAAAGAGAGCAGAAGTTGAGTTGTATTACAAAGTTTTCAAAAATACTACCTATAATTGGTGACATCTACTGCTAATTTAGGAAAAAGAGCTTGGACAGCCTATTTCCCTGAAGCCAGCAAGCTGCATCTCAAAATCTCAATGTGCTATATTTTACGATTGTACTATTATCTGGCTCGCTTATACAAAATTCTTGGATTTGAATTTTGAATGAGCGACTTCAGGTAGATAATAGTATCTAGATGGTACTCGAGTCACATTTCATAGTAGCATTTTTCATTAAGTAATATTTTCCTGTATTGCATTATGAAAGCAAAATTGATAAAATATGATAAATAAAATATATATACCTATAACAACACGCTGGAGGTTACTACTTTATTAAAACTGAACTTCCATAGAGCGTCGTGAACAATTTATTTCGGTTGTCCTCAGAAGTTGCCAGAGTTACAGAAGAATGGAGCACTATTGCGCCGTTGCAATTGTAACTGATTGATAAACATTCTTCTTTGATATCGATTCGTATTCCTTTGTGTATTACTCTTTAGTTTCAACCTTTACTACTAGTAAGGCTGAAGACCATAGCCAGGGCCGGTAAAACCTTTTTGAAAAAATAAATACTAGCAAAACTAAAATAAGTTAGATAAAAAGAAGACAATAAGAAAAAAGGTCTAGGTTTTGCCTTATAAAATAATTAAGAATATAACCCAAGATTCGGCTGTACGGCTTAGTTAGTTCCTTCGCCTGTCCCATGGACGAAACTACTACCACTAACTACTAAAATAATTTATTTAATTTCAATTAATTCAAAATTGTGTAATGGCTCGTAAATTATCAGAAGCAGCACGTAAATCTTTACTTTTAGGCCAGTGTATACCGACTGTTAAACAAAATGCTGTTAAAATAAGAGTGAAGAGGTTAGAATTGGATGAAAATTTGCTAATGGTTTGTTTGCCATTGTATGAAAAAGTTTTTTTCACTAGTTAAAGAATGAGTAATGTTCTGTTTTTTTTTTAAATTTCATACCGAAATAAATTATTGGGAGTATTTTTCTAAAAGACGCTAGGCGATTAGTTCCGGATGCTGCATTTTCAGTGGCGGTCAATGTGATGGGTTATTACCCGTTCTGGTTAGGTCTACCCCAGCAGTGGGGTTATTAATGAGTTGGACATACACCTAGCTATTCTTGAATATTTTTGTTTGACATGGATACTACAATTTGTTTTAATAATTTCAGTACTTCAAGAAAGACGAGTTTTATTACTGTCATGATCCTGATAAAAAATGCCAAACTGGTGACATAGTGCTGATAGAGAGTTTGCCACAAAAACTTACCAAGCTTATTACTCATCAAATTAAAGAAGTGGTATATCCATTTGGTGATATCACTGATCCAGTAACAGGAAAGAAAGTAGCCAAAGAAAGATATAGAGAAGATATTGAAAAAGAAGCTGAGATCTATGGGAAGTTAGATTCAACCTTCGATTATAGCAAGGCTCCACCGAGAGGTTGGCAAGAGGGGAAGAAAGACTTTACGTCGAAACCTACTTACACAAAGTACCATGTATTTGATAAAAATGATCCATATGCAATTTAATGCAGCTTTAGTTATGTAATTTTAGTGTGTAAAATTAAATATAGTCACAGCTTATTTAAAACATGTATTTTATTTAGTGCATTCACTTTAGAATTGGGATTTCGTATGAATTGAGAATATCTATATCCCCTAAAGAATACACCAGTCAACAAAAAAAATCTGTTTTTGTTATTTAATTAATATTTTCTAATTTTCTGTTTCGATAAATATCCAAAAACACTTATCATAATAAAAAGTTTGCTTTTGTACATTATAAACAAAAAAAAATGATGTTTTGGCAGAATTTGCCAGAAAGGCTTGTTCAATGCGATTGGTAACATATTTATTGCCTCTGAAATGCGTTTATTTATCGATAGCTCTACAAGAAGCTTAAAAGTAGTTCTTTGTCACAATGGAAATAAATTTCTCTCTTCCTCTGGCTCATTCTGTTATGTTGAAAGAAAATTACGAGTGTTAAAATGGTGCTTCAAGCTTTAAAGTATAAAGAGTATGCCTAGGTATTGACAGGGGATTTCAAGATGGTCGGTTTCCTTGTGGGAATGCAAGGCAGATACATAAAATATCTGTGTTACCTTTGCTTATGGGATAGTAGAGAGGATGCACTTCACTATCAACAGTACTCATGGCCCTTATGAACTGAGTTTCAAATAGGAAAACATAAAGAGTAAAAAGTGAACCAATTGTTAAGCCCGAACATGTGTTAATGCCTCCACAACATATAAATTTAGGTCTCATGAAACAGTTTGAGAAGGGTCTTTTTTCTGAAGTTGTCAGAGGCTAAAATTAAAGCTGTTATTTTCGTCGTTCCACAAATAAAGGAAATAATGGACAGTGAACAATTCCCATGAAAAACAGGCGTGGCTTGGCCTTAAAGCAGTGGTTCATGACTTTCTTGGCATTAGAAGGGCTAATAATTATAAAGAGCTTATTTCTGATATGCTTCACGGGTTGCAGAATGTCCCTTAAAGTACATATGCTACATGCTCACTTGGATAAATTTAAAGATAACTTAGGGACATATTCAGAAGAACAAGGGGAACATTGTCATCAAAATATAATGAACATTGACAAAGGTATCAAGGACAATATAATGAGACTATATTAGGGGGCTGATATAAGAAAGTTCTAGCTTACACAAAAGAAATGCCAAAAATTTTCACTTTTAAATAATTTTTGTATATTTTTCTGTATTTGTGAGTCTCGTCTGTTTAAATGAAAGTTGATATCGTCTGTTTAAAAGAAAGTTGATAAAAAAATGTTTTTTTTTTATATTTTAAAAGTAGACAATCGGGTTAATAACAAGATTTTATTAAAAAAATATTTCGTTCTCATTGCTACAAAAGCAACTTTTATAGAAAAAAAAAAATTGTCATTAGTTACGCATAAGTAATCAAAATCAAATGTACGGAACTGAGAAACAAAATTCGTGTTGACCAGTGTTATTAACTACTTATATATCAAAGTTGTTCTATTCCAGTTTTGAAGAGTTCTAAAGTACACACGGCTATATGTCAGGGTACCACAATTTGTCAATTTCCTTAATGGATTTTGAACACTACGTACGATGTATGAGGGTTTAATTTAAAAGTAGAAATGTGACAGTTTTGATGCGCTGTTGACTACAAGGGATAGGGGCAAAGGGCATTAAAAGTGATCTATTTCTTTTTTTATTAATTCCGCTATTTTACAGTTAACGTTTTCTTTACTAAACAACTGAGATAAATTGTAAAAAAAAAGTAACATTCTAATTTCTAACACATCATTAACTATAAAAAATATTCTTACCTTTCAACATCACTAGGTAATTTAAAAAAAAAACGAGAGGTCCGAGTTTGAATACGCCGATTTTTAACATCCGTATTCGCTCAGTCTCTGTACATCTAGTTGTCTTGGCGTGACAAACGTAACTGAGCTCACCTCGATACCCCCAGAGAATTCACGTAAATGCGTGCGTTTGTTTTTAGTTCTTAGTTTTGCTACTGTATTATTCTGTGGTATAAGTAATAAAACAATTAATAAAATAAAAACATATATTCCGGCATAGTCCTGCTGGCGGTGGGCAACAGTAGTTTAGACATCAGTCAGCAAGGAATCCCCTTTCAAGGGCAGCACCCATTAGGGTCCATGAACTGTCGTCGTCATCTGGCGGCTCGTCCTCCGACGGTGGCGTTGAAGGTCGAGGCCGTTTGCGAGGGCGGATTTCTTCGTCTGATAATGAATGAATGAATATTTATTGAAAACAACAACTAATGCAAATATTTCCAAAAAAGTACAATTTATTCCATTCTATTCAAATTTATAGAAACAAATGCTCTAGATATGAAGAATGATGTACCTAAATTAGGATTAAGGAAATAATTCTATGTTTTACTAAATTCATCTCAATAAAACTTTAATCTTACCTAAATCAGAGTCACTAGATGCTTCTCGCAATTCTTGTAACCTGTAAATAATAAATTATAACATTATAAATTGATTGTGATGTTAAATGGTACCATTAATAGACGAAAACGAGAACATGTACACGTACCGGTCTTGCGAGCATGTGTCATCATTTTCTACAGATATCAACCGATCTTCCGGAGGGTTCTCTTCATCATCAAGGTCATCCTCTTTAGGCTTTGATTCATCCGACGAACTCTCATCAGATTCATTGAAAATATCCTCCACCTGAAAATTAAGTAATTTATACTAATAGTAGACGTAAGATTTGATTATTTGTTTGCATTGAATAGGCTCCAAAACTAATGGACTGATTTTAAAAATTCTTTCACTCACGGGTGTTATGTTCAAATGTACTGTATAATGCAGTGATTCCTATGTGAAGAACTGAAAGGTTAAAACATTTCAGTTCAGAATATCCAACGGTTTCAAATTGTCTGTCTCCTGATATTTCCAGTTCCAAAATGTCCAATCTAGCATTATGATGAGTTTGTTGAATACACTGATGAATAATATGTAGCAAGCCAGTTGAATAGGTCCTCTTATCCTCTTTTAAAAATGTCAAACATTAACGATCTTGCTACATAAAATTTATCATTCAACAAACCCGTCATAATACTTGATTATACGTTTTTAACTTGACATTTCGGGTATTCGACATTCTGAACTAAAATCAGTTTTCAGATATATTAGATATTTTATACTTTGAAAAGTTTAAAAAATTATTTAAGTGTACCTCCCGATCCATGTCCGCGATGTCGTCGCTGGAGAAGGAGAGGAGCGGATTGAGCGTGTCCATGAACCGTCCGGAGGGCGTCCGGCGGCGGAGAGCGGCGGGGGCGGGGGCGGGGGGCGCCGGCGCCGGCGGGGGGCTGCTGCAGTGCGCCGGCGGACGGCGGGAGCTGCTCTGTGTACACCACTCACATGTTACGGACTTAACAATAGGGATGATGACTCGGTTAAAAAAAGAACTTCCATTTAGTTCGTCGGTCAAATTATAGAAAAATATACTTATTTTTTTTTTGCTTCAATTTAAATAAGAAACGGCTTAGTTATTAAGTAATAAGCATTAAAGTTGAAGAGTAGGGGCTCGCTGCGTCACAGTTTTGTAGATAATTTACAAAAGCGTGACGTCATGTGACATTTTAACGTAACGTAAAAAATACGTGTTTAATATTTTTCAACAATCTACCTGACGGACAAAAAATGAGTCATCACTATTACTGACATAAAACTCGTAGCCTTATTGTCCAATTCCAAAGTCTATGTTGTTCGATTTACGTTTGAAAGCGACAATAGCTTTCATTCTGGCGTAGATTAGGATTGTGATAAATTTATGGAATATGATAACTTTTAAAGTCGCAAATAGCTTATGGAACGAACGACAATTTGAATGATTGGGAAACGCAATAAAAACTTAGTTATACCCTTCGAAAGATTGCAGTAAGCATTCAACTGTTTCGGTTGACATTTCTCAATAACTTTTAAAGATATTTGTGTATAAAATTAATGTCAAATGAATTAATGTCAATAATCGTTCATTCAACATCTTTCAAAAACTCTCAATCGCCATCACATGTCAGATAGTTTTAGCGTAAAGTTCGTGAATATCTTTCAAATGTCAAATTTAAAGGGATTGCCATAATTAGTAATGAAAAAAAAGAAAGTACTAAAAGTACCTCTGCTAGATGGCGACTCTAGGAAACGTCGATTTTTGCAGGAAACGAATGGACCAAAGGTAGTCATTTCGGGAGCTAATTTTTTTTTTACTTACATGTTACCAAAATGACTATCTTTATATGAACTCAAGCTTTTTTTAAAACATTAGTTCCCGAAATCAAACTAGATTTCACCACGGTACTTTCTTGGTTTCTCCATGACAACCCTTTCGGTTTTCTTTCATGTATAGAAGTAAATTACTTTTCAAAACTCAATAAACAGCAAGCTCGATGGCGTAGTGGATAAGCGCCGAAGCCCGCCATTGTTTTTGATAAGAAACTCGCAAGGGTCGGTAACGGAATTGGTGACAAAAAAAATATCTAGAGCTACTTCGTGCTTCGGAAGGCATGTTAAGTCGTTGGTCCCAGCTGCATTTGCTCTTGTTAATACCCTTCGAACCGCATTGGGCCAGTTTGGAGGGTTATGAACAATCCTTAAGAGTCCATAAGGAAGGAGCGAGAAGTCCCAGCAGTGTGGACGTAAAATAGCTGATGATAATGATAAGATCCTCTAATTCGTTGATGTGACTGTTATCTTAACGTAAATTAAAAGTAGTGTCGCAACACCATCTGCGCATGGTAAAGCTTCTCAGTGATATTGTTGAATGCACGCTGTTACGAAAGTAGTTTCATACGTGCTAATGGTGCTAAAATTAGTTTCATGCTAGTGCTTTCGTAATGTAAATTCGGCTTTATTGTTAGTACAACATGTGTATACCTGTCCCTGTCTGTGCAGTGGGTATAGTCTCTCGTCGACTCGCTCCCACCTTTCAGCACAGGCCCATAACCATTCGGGGGTGACCACGTGAACTTTAGCTTTTCCTTCGCCCATTCGTCTGCTCGCATTCACTTTCGCTGTGCCTGAAAGAATTTCCTCAATAAGTTACAAGCATGAGACAGAAATAAAGACACTGAAAAATGCATGATGTAATACTGCATTTTTCAGTGTACTAATTTTCTGATCGTAAATAATAATACTGATAAAATAATAATTAATTTGAACTGAATATAGAAATAATTTAATGTTAATTTTACATATTAGACAAGTAAAAAAAACCTATTCATTTTCAGTTACTTTATTGCAGCATTTCTTTGTATTTAATCAGTTGCTTGGATGAAAGATTCATGAAGCACATACATAAATAAATACTAGACAACATTACATACATTCCTCAGAGCTCAAACTAATTAACATTTTTTTTTATTATAGTAGGATAGGAATCAAAGAAGGAACCATGACATCTAGATTATAGACACTATAATAATATATATAATGATAATAAATATTTATTCCAGGAAAAATATTTCCATATACTGTTAGTATAGTATAAGAAGAACAAAAGAATATTAGAAAAGTTTATTTTCTGTATAGAACTGAGTGGAAATAAAATCCAGAAATCCGACATTGGTTATGACAACAGCTCGATACAACCGTGCAAGTCATTTGGCCACATAGGTCGTGATATTGTTTGACGTTCTCCAACCGCTAAATGTTAAAATAATCGTTAATCCTCACCAGGTCTGACAGCGACCAAATGCGTGGTACGTTCAGTGAAATCTTGCGTGACTTCAGCGCCAAGATTCCTCGCCACCTGATACGCTCGCGACGTCTCTAACCGTTGATGCGTCGGCACTAAACCACTGAACACTAAACTAGCACCATACAACACTTTACTTTTCACATCTGGTATTATAGTCTTTAAGTCCGGTATTTCACTGGGGCCTGTTTGTTCGTACAGGTCGTAGAAACGTCTGAAAGTGAAATGGGAGTCTTAAAGTCTGTTCCTAGGTCAATGACACTTAGTATTATTGAATAGGATATTATGCGTTGAAAGAAAGCGATATGTATCGCGCTATACATAGTTATCGCGTAGTGTTAATTATTTTCATACAGAATGGGGTCAGTGACCTAAAAGCTCCCATATAATAAAACTCAGTACAACATAGAAACTATACTGCAGTGTATAGATATTATTAGCGATACATATCGTTTTCTTTCAACGTTCACACCATATCCAAGTTCCGTGTTTTCACCTGGCCTAGAAACAGATTAATAATTACTTTTTCCTCAGCTAATAACCTATTCAATGATAAAAAGAAAACAAAAATTTTAATACCCACATTGATTAGGAAAATATTACAAATACCTCAGAATTGATAATCCAAATGGTCTTAGAAGTTTTTATCACAACCAAATTTTGTCTGATAGAAAATTAATTTAATAAAAAGACAAAAAAATAAATATGTATGTACTGGCTGAATACAATAATTGGTAGAGTGGTTTTCATATGGGCCTTTATGTTACTAAAGCTAATAAACACTATAGAGTAATATTCAATTTATGTCTTCATTTAATAACTCACTTGTGTATCCTTTTAAGTATATCTTCTAAATATATTAAGTAGTCATCTGGATCCTCAACCTCTATCTGCCCATCTGGAGTTTTGATCCATTTTGGCTCATTACATACATTTTCTAAAACATTTTTATCCTCCTTTTTTTCATTGTCTTTTTCTGTCACCATTTTCTCTTCAGTGTCAGGCTTATCAGTTTTAGATTTTTCTGTATTTGATAACTTATCTTTATCTATATTTTCATTTTCTAATTTATTTTTATCACTATCTTTTTCTGGCTCCACATCTAAAATGGGCATTTGATTGAGCACAGCCGTTAGCTGTGAGCCATTTTTGCCACCAACTAATTTTGGTTTTTCATCTGAAAGTAATTTTAAAAAGATTTTGTTTACTTTAAAGTTTCGTTGTACACTCTTAATAGTAACATTATAATGAGAACATCAATGTTTTCCTCGTATCTGTCTTTCTTGCAAGACTCACAACAAAAAAGTCTTCAGAAGGAATGATTAATTTATGGATTACATGTGAAGTTACATAAGTATTTGATTATGTAACTTGTATCTTAATCCAACCTTATTTTAAAGGATTTAATAAAACCAATGAGTTTTAGTTTACTGTAACTTTTATATATTTAAAAAAGATTTAGTTATTGTTATGCCATAATTACAATCAGTAGTTAATGTTAATATTCATAAAAGGACTAGATTCCCATGACTTTGCCCACATAAATTATAGCCAATGTCACCAGCTTTTGATGAAGATTCATGTAGGTAAAAAAATAAAAAAATGTTTTGGTAGTTTCCAATCCTTTCTCTTTATAATATTATTTGAAACATTCAGACGTTTTTCAAGTATTTTACTAAGATACATTTCAACAGTTTACATTTCAATATGAAGTTATATTCAAGAGTTTAATGGCTTAACTAACCTGGTAAAGGAGGTGGAGCGTTAATATCGCCTGTCGATTGAAAGAAGGAGTAAGGTCTCACATGTATGAGGTTTGTTGCATGCCTCCATACATCTTCTCTGTCATCAATTATACACACCATATTGTCACCACATGGAAACAATGCTCTGAAGCAAGAATACACAATAATACATCATTAAGTGCTTAATACTAATAATCATACTAATAATCCATCATTGGGGATCATGTATAAGCTGTAGACAAATATACTTACAATAAGAGAGAAAAGAAATTCTTTATTTACTATTAGGACTTTGTAATGTGATTTTTATAGCAAATTGTTGAAAAAAGAAACTTTTTTTCATGTAAATCTACACAAACATTTTTACTAAGACTTACTTTAAATTAGCTGATTTTGTTCTTGCATCAAAGCATTCATCTCTTGAAAGTATTCTGTGTGAGAAGAATTTTTTCTCTGGATCCAGGAGGTCAGCAATTGCATGTGCATACTGCCTCGCACCAAATGTGCAAACATGAAGTTCATAATTTTTGGCTGCAGATTCTAAAAATTCTTGCGTTCGAGGCCTGAGCCTTGTATGACACCATCGACCAGGACTACCGGGGCCACGGAGGAAAAAATGTAGAACACCCTAGTAATGAAATTTAACAATAATTATCACAAGTTTTAACTTCTTCTTTGTCTTTTCACTATTAGTAAAAATAACTCATAATAACGATAGTTTTATACTGTGACAAGTTTCAGAAAGATGGTAGCAATATATTTTTTTAATAATTTATTGATTGAGTTTATTCTAATATGTACTAATGTGATTAATCAATATAGTTAAGTTCTATGTGCATGTGCCAAATAAATGAATTTGAGTTTGAGTATGTAACATGATTTTCATTAGTTTAATTTACCTTTAGATTAGGTGCAACATTATCATTGGTGGTGTGCACTAAAGTTTGATCTAAATCCACCAGTAAAACCAACTTCTTGTCTTTCAATAGACGTTCAGCATCTTCACGACCTAATTTTTGGGCCAATTCTTCAGACACCTGAAAACACAAAACAAATGACACCAATTAACATATTCTTAATAATTTCCTTAATTTAATACTTAATAAACATATTTGTTACTAAAAATATTTTCAACCTTTAGTTCAGGTACAGAGTGCACCATAGGAACAACGGCGACGTCGCGTTTTGGTCCCTCGTCCGTGCGAAGATCGGCACCGCATTCCGCGCACATTTCTTTCATTACTGTGGGATGCTGACATGCTTCTAATTCTGCAAATGCAGCCCTGAGCAAAAATAAAATGTTAAATAATAAAACTAATAATTAACAAACAAAATTGAAATCGATGTCATAAAAAAAACAATGAATTGAAAATAATACTGTTTTGCACTGTTAAATTCTTGGATACGATATTTAAACTAAAAGAATACAAAATTACAATTTTCAAATCAAATCAAGTTTCGCGCGCAAATCTTCTAACAATCAATACAACAGCTCATATAATTAAGACATAAATAGTCCTATGGAATATTGACAATTAGGACATGTGTATAAATTGGTCGTAAATTATTTATGTTTATTTTTATTAATTTGTGAATGACGTCACTTACCCAGGCTCTGCGATGTCTCCTTCCTTCACCTTGATCGCCGAAATGGTACCCGCGCGCGTGGCTTTATACTTTTTTAAATCACTGTTGCTGCCTGACGAATCGTTGTATAAAAATAATATCTGACCTTGTGACACAAATGCACCTTGTTTTACTTTCCACTTCAACACCTTTACAGGCTTTTCAGATGGAACAAAAATAGGCATAGTTTTGTCGGCCATCTTGAACGGAAATTGCAGTTAATATTGAGAATGACGATTTCTCATTGGCCGATATTCAATGCTTTTGGCGGTTAAATAATAACAACCAATAGGAATAAAATCAATGAGAATGACAGCGCCAAATGACATTTTGTCACATGTTACAACCGGAAGTTACTAACCACAGAACAATTACTGGGGACTACTAATGCTTCCCACAAACGCAACTACAAAAATGCTTTCCACTCATCATGCAACTATTGAAGTTAGAAATTAATGTAATCACAATTCATTCTTTAAAAAAAGTAGATATCAATCTCTTTAACATATGTGATGTTTGCAGCGGGTTTAATGCAATAGCACAATAACCTATATAAGCTTGAAATGATTTGTTTTAGGACGTAGAATCACAGAATATCGTCTAGAGTATATTATTCGTAGAGTATTATTGTTCTGTGATATTATGGGCGCTTGTGCACTACACTGAATTTTCATGTCCGGCGGTCCGATTTTTTCAGGTCCGATATGTCAGGCCATATGTAGGTAATGCGCGCTTGTGCACTGTCAGGAATTTTACCGTCCGGAATTTTACTTTTCTCTATTCCGGACCGGTTTTTTCAGGTCCGTGATGGCGGCAATGAAAAACGTGTTTACGCTTGTGCACTGCTGTGTCCGAGATCCGGAAAATTCATAAGAAATAGGCTTGGGAAAAAATAATCGATTTGAATCGATATTTATTTCGGCAATATTGTTAATTTCCAATAAACTTATAATCGATATTTATTGTTGATTATAAAATGCTATATTTTATATGATGATTTAATACAGTTGGTATATATCACTGCATATGCTTTGGAAAACTCGGTATAGTTCTAATTTGATCAGCATATGGTTCTAGTATCGATACTTAGCTAGATTTTAGAATCGTATTAAAAGTATCGATAGCTTAAGTAAGATAAATAAGTGTTGTTACGTTTAGACAACTGCACCCATCTAAATGGAAATTAATATAGTAAATAGACTTAACTTTAAGAAAGGACATAGGCTACATTTTATTGCGAAAAATAGGGGATGAAAGTTTGCCTGGAAATTTGTCATTATCAATTTTTTTTAAACAATTGATAAGTATAGATAAATATTTGACAACAGAATTAATAATAAAGAATAAACAGAAGATTAACAAAAGTAATTAAGTGACACTCAATGTCTTTTTCGCATTTAATAAAATTTTAAATGTATTTTTGTGTCATTAATAAATAAAAATAAAAAAAAAGTATTCTAAGGGAATAATATTTCTGCTCAAAGAAACTACACCACGCGTATAAAATTATGCTTATATATAATACAGTCAACTGATCTCGTAAAGTTCATTTAGCATAATAATTCTCCGCTAACACGGCACAAATTTCGATTTGTTTACGAAATGACGCCACCGATTGGTCTATCTCTGTAATCGCTGAAAGTTGTTTTCACAAAACTTCGAAAAAAATAGCACATTTAAAAATTTAAACATCAAGTACTGGACCATTATCAGTAATTTTATTCTAATGTCAGATATTTTTAGCTATTGTATGTGAATAATGCTGTTCCTAAATTAGTAAGGCTATAAGTTTTTACATCTGATAGTAGTCATCCGATAGTAGTAAAAAAATGCTTTCGTCTTGCCATAATTTATTATGGTTTATGTAAAACTATCAGATCATTATTTAGGTACCTTTCTACGTCTTCGAACGGAATTATCAACGTTCCAAAAATCTCATCGTACCTAGCGTAAGTGACGTGTAGCTTCAAAGAGAGCTGCACTACACTGCGCCGCTCCGATCAGGAAAAAAACGGATAAGTGCACAAGCTACTCATCCGAGTTTTTCATGTCATTCCGGACCGGAAAAAATCGGACCGCTGGACCTGAAAATTCAGTGTAGTGCACAAGCGCCCTATTTATGGTACAATTTAAGATAATGAATGGGCAACGGACACATGGTATGACCACAGTGTTGCCAAGCTAGTACTATTTTCATGAAGTGAGCACAGAATGAAGACGTATTTAAAAAAAGAAATTAGTATTTAAATAAAAATAGTTCCCGAAATCAAACTAGATGTCGCTATGATACTTTCTTGATTTCTCCATGACAACACTACCGGTTTTCTTTCATGTAGTAAATTAATTTTCAAAACTCATTAAAAAACTTATGTTCTATTTGTACTTTTTGTATTTGTATTGATATTTAAGTTTCGAACTTTGCAAATTTTGATTTTATTTTATTGACTTTTCCAAAAATTTTAGCAATGAATCAATATAATAATAGTTATATAATTATTTTTATTTAATTATGGGGATTTTTCAAATATATTTTAATAATTAGTAAAAAAATATTTCTTTTTGTATCTATTTTTAAATGACATCACATAGGTGTTATTTAGACAAGATTTCCGTTTGCGTATTAACAAATTATGGGATTTATATTAAGCAATTGTTTTATTAAAAAGCTGTTATTATTCTTAAAATTACTTCGCAATAATTTCTTTTTTCATCTTTCAATCAACGTTACGTTCTGTTTGAAGTGTCAAAGGGACCTCTAATTTTGTGAATATTAAGGTTAAGGTTTTTTGTACATTCAACATCACACAAAATTGACAAATTTCTCCACTCGATTTTAAACCTTAATACGCTGTGGGAGAGTTCAAAATCAATCGAGGAATTTTGACATTAACGTGCAGACATGTGTACTTAAAATTATGGCCATGAAGTACTTTTAAACTCTTCAGTCTTTGGTGCAACTACAATGTAGTTTGACTGATCAAAAGTTATGACCTAACAAGAAAGGACATAGAAAGAGTTGTGATAATAAGAAGAGCAAACACTTGTTATTTGATATGCCTTAATAAATAAATGTCTCTAAGCCTTGAACAATGTGATACCGGTCACACTAAAAAAAAAGATGTCAAAACTTGATATAAAACTATTTCCAAGTTGAATGTTGAAAATTAAGTAAATTTTTAAAAGCTTCTTTATTTTCAGTTGATATAATTTGTTCGTTGCTTAAATTTTTAACGTAAGATACTGGCGACACTGTTTGTGTGACAGCTATTCTACTTACTCTATGGTAGCAGCAGATTAGCAATTTGATAGCAACAAAATATTTTGTTGGAGTGCATTGTATTTGTAGTTTTGAGTTTTCTTACTTTTCGGTAGACTTTAATGTAACATAAATAAAAATATGACTGAAGAAACCATAACAGTAAGCGATAACTCTGATTCTGACGAAGCGGGAACTCCAGAACTGCGGGGGTATTTAAGTAAATGGACAAATTATATACACGGTTGGCAAGACAGATTTATTGTGCTGAAAGATTCGACTTTGTCTTATTATAAAAGTGAATTGGAGAGTAATCTTGGCTGCCGAGGTGCCTTATGTCTCAAAAAAGCTAAAGTCAAGGTGAGTTGACATATTTTTAATAAACTTATTACTCTAAAAAAATGTCCTTGTAATGGCTAATTTCCTTCCTCCTATTGAAATGTATTTGGTACTCCCAGAATTAAATAATCGTCAAGATTGAGCCGGTGATAATAATATCATTTATAAATAAATTATGTAGTCTTTATAATTTATTCAAAACAACTAATTATATGTTCAAAACAACTCTTAATTTCAGCCACATGAATTTGATGACTGTAGATTCGACGTTTCAGTAAACGACTGTGTTTGGTATTTGAGAGCTTCAAATCCTGAAGAAAAACAGCAATGGATTGATGTACTGGAATCATTTAAAGTGAGTTGGTGCTCTATTGAACACAAAACTGGATATTAAGCTGATAGTGTATGATAACAGTTGGCTGTCTGTTGAATGTGTGCACTCAGATTGTTTCTAATTTAGACTTTAAATTGTTTGAAGGTCACTGCTAGTATCTGTTACGCTAATGTTTTTATTGCATCTATCTAGTCATTGTTCTAGGCAATTACACTTGCCTGTAGTTAAAAACAGTTTAGAACTGATAAAATAATCATACATTAAGTTTGTTATAGATGAATTATTAATTTATTTAGTATCACTTAATTAAAGACATAAGTCATAAAATAATTATTTTTTATGTTATCTACATTTAAGTATGTTTCTTGTTCTTTTGTTAGGTGATTCACTATGTTATCTAATCATATTGATGACTAAATAAAAATTAGGAAGAAATAAGAATAGATCTAATTAAATCTAATGTTCATCTGAGATAAATTTAATCTAACACTCCATCACCATCTATACTCAAGAGAAGTAATAACTTGAGAAAATGTCACAACATATATAAATATTTTTAATCAATAGATGAATATTTAAAAGAAGTAATTACTGTCATAGCTAATAACAATAGTCTCAGCACCATAGATACAGTTGAAGTTAAGGTTTATGTCAAACTTTGAATCCACACAAATAAAACCATATATAAGGGTATTCCATTAGGTATACACTAGTTGTATAATAATCCTTTGATAAATACTATTAATGCAAATATGTTTAAAAATTCACTAGTCTCAGGAAACCTGAGATGGGATCCCCTCTCATCTTGGTATGTGGAACTGGTGAACTTTTGAGTATTTTTTATTAGTATAACATTGGGGATGCAAAATTGATCAAAAAATATATATATAATAAACTGTCATTATAGAAAACATTATAGAAAAATAATAAAAAATTGGACAAAATAATATTTGAATACAATATTAATTTCTGATGTTATTAATGGGGCTTAAAATTTTTTTTCGTACATAATTCTTAATGCCGAATTTATCAAATATAACATTATGGTTGTGCTTTTGTAAAGAAAATCTCTTATTTTTTAAAATGAATATCCAATGAAGAGTCTCTAAAAATAGAAATGAAATATGTTTCAAATTTATGATTGAGATTATGACATTTGTCTACAGGTGGAATCAGGATATGGTACTAGCTCGGATAGTAGCTCTAATGGTGGTGGTCTTAGGAGACATGGCTCAGCTACATCTTTACAATCAACGGGATCACATGGTAAAACAATTGCATTAATTTTAAATTATATGAAATTGAGATTAAAAAAATGTCATCTTGTTATTGTTCCTTTTGGTCACAACTTCTTATATCTGTGATGTAAATCTTTGCAGAAATGAGGGATATCAAAAGTGTGGCAGAAGCTCGATTCTCTGTTTATTGTATTTCAGTTTATAAACGTAAAATGAAACTGAATTATTTATTATATTGACAAATCAACAGACTAATCAGAATAGGGTATTCTACTCCGTTTGAAATGATTCTTTTAACTGTTTATTATAATTAAAAAAGCCATAAAACTAATATTTCGGAAAAACAAACACAATTTTATTGCTTTACATTTAATTTTTTTTTGTACCTGCGAAAATGTTGTCCGCCATATTTATGACGTCATTGTGATGTGTACACAAAACCTAAATTATGCACACAACAGATACATAGAGAGAAGATTAAAAGATGTCAATAAAACAAGAACAATGCCATCTAACGATCAATTTCGAAATAAAAAGATATAAAATTTGATTTATAACTAATATCTTTATGACTAAACTGACAGCTGTCCCAACAGTAGCATCACAAATTGGCAGGTCATGTTTCAATTCACGTGACAAACAGACAAAAATCACGACTTTTAATTTTAAGATAATTGTGCTATTTTCAAACTTAAAATCAGAATCTCTATATTTATTACAATGTAAATTTTAGTTTTTGTGCAATTTCATAACTTATTTTTCAGTACCGAAACTACCCTATTGGCTATTTGATAGTTACAACAATAAATTATGAAATATGTTGCAAAATGGGTTTTAATGTAGTAATTTTAAAGTATATTTTATTTATTTAACGTATGATTTATAATCTGTGCATTATAAGACTCGAAATGTGGCCGGCCATGATAAGGCCATCTTGTGATGTCACATTTCAATAAATTAAATGTCAATGTCTCTGTTGTGACAACCAGTTGTCATGACTTGAAATGTCACGTGACTGATTCATTTTGCAGGACAATTTAAATTCTTAAAAATATGTTTTCCTTAATTAAATAACACTTTTTGGAGAAAAATAAATCTAATTGTGGTTGGTTTAAGTTTCAAAATATTTTTCCTAAAACGGGCAAGTAGCTAATTAGTCTAGGATTAGACTGATTAATCCTGGTTGGTCTGCTGATAGACTTCGTTTTGACAGATCAATCAAGGATCTAGTAATGCGGTAGAGCCGCAGTTTTTATAATAAGTTCGAAAGTTTAAGATCAACTGAGTACAATATCATTTTAATTAAAGGTTAAAATTATTACTGGTTTTTGTATGGTTTAATTATAGTTCTGGCTATTCATATAACATTATAATTTTTATCACCAGGACGGACTACTCGACATCTCTCAGAAAAGATATCTGAGTTGGAGACATACAGTGAGTTGTTATCGAAGCAGGCCATACAGCTGCAGCAGTACTTTGATAAATGTGTTGCTACATACCCTCAGATCAGTGATGATGCTAATGAAGCTATAGATGCAGTCAAAGTGGCAGAGGGTAAGTCGGACGGTAAGCACAAGCAACTTATTTAAAGGAATAAATGTAAGGTATAAATTAAATTAAAAAGTTGAATTTAAGCTTATTATGAGATACAGTCAACAGCACGCCAGATTATACATATCTGTGAAAATAGCTCCAGTGAATTGAAATTGAAAAACTTTATCTTTTGTGGGCACTGGGTAGAGTTCAAAATGGTTCAAATTTGCTTTAGGTGATGACTTAATACTTCACGCGGGTGAAGTACGTGCGACTAGCGCGTCTTTCCGCGCGACGTGTGGCGCTACACTTTCTACGTTGCAATATTGCGTGGAGCTTTTGCGCAGGCGCGAGAAGCAAGCAAGGCAGGCAGAGGATTTGTATATGTAAGCAACAGTTTAGTTTTTTCCTGTTATATTGTAGAAGCTTTAGCTGGCGACTTTATGCGCGTTGTATTGTTACTTTGGGTAGGTAGCAATTTCAAAAACACCGAAGCAAATTAATTTATGCACAATCGTACAAAGGCGGTCTAAATGCCTTAAGCATTCTCTTCCAGTCAATTTTTAGGTGATGTGGAGATTAAAATAAATGATAAAGATTGGTGCATATGAAATCGTTGAAAAAAACACTTCATATTTCTAGGAATCCTTTTAAGTGGCTAAATACAATGTTTCATGTTTTTTTTTATATATTTGACAATGATGAACTCAATAAAAACTTTCATCCTTTACTTCAACCCCTTTTTTCGCGATGCCCTTATTGACCAAATTTTACCAAATAACAAAAAAAGTATATGAATCACCTTTGCAATTGTAGCGGACCCGACAGACTTCGTCCTGTCAAAAAGATATGTAATGTGGCAGTTATTTGTTCCTACTTATTTTATAGTCGGGGCAAAAAATAGGAGGCATATCAAATATAAATTATTGTGTCACATGCAATATTATTATTATAATAAATAGTGATCATAGGTAACTAAACACTCAGCACAAAACACGATATACGAATTTGTTTCGTGTATTAGACAGTATCAGTTGACAAAAGCAAACTCAGTAGAATAAGTAACAGAAAATCCAAGAAAATAATACTTCCACACCGGCAAATTGACATCGACAGTTTATTTTTCTTAGTTTTTTTTTAAACTAACTAAACATCGACAGTTTGTTGTTGTTTCGATTTTCAACTTTTTTTAAATTTGATATGACTTGGAATCAAATCCTTCAGGCCGTACCAATTTTTTATGTGTGTAAAATAATAAATAATAAAACACTTTTGGTAACGCGGTTTGTGTTTGACTGATGTCATGACGTGAAAACTGATGCATTTTATGTCGCGTGCTGAAAGTAAAACAAAAGAAATAATATCGCAAAGCCGACCAAATTGAAAATCAGTACTAATGATTTACTTTAATTGAGTTTCGGAACGCGGCATTAAATCCTCCAACGATGTATTCTGTGCTCCAACGCACACACGCACACTGTATTGATATGATTGAATTTCAACTTTGTATAGCGGTAATAAAGTGCAAATTGACTCTTTGACGTTAGGAACACACCTACATTGCTTAGATAACAGTGAGTGCTTGTAATTTAATATGAACTTTATACAATAGTAATAGAGCTCAAATTAACTCAACGTTTTAGTTAGAAAACGTTTGTATGAGAAAAAGAAAATGGCTGTTTTTACGGTTTTTTCGGCATATATTCAAATTTTTCTCGCCGTAAAAACCATCCTTGAACTTCAACGAACATTTAAAAAAAAGAATTGGCCAAATTGGTCCAGGCGTTGTTGAGTTATGCGCTTACCAACACATTTTGGTCCAAATTCTGCATTCAAGTTCGAGTCTGACGAGTTCAAAATTAAATGCAGAAATTTACCCCCTCTGTTGTAACATTATGTTTTGCTGTGCATATACATTTGTAACAGCATAATAGTTTTTCTTACGTTTTTTCTAAAGTGTTGTTAATTATTTATACAAAGATAAGGTATGTGATATTGATACAGAGTCGTTGTTATATAGGGCGTTGAAGAATCAACTGACCGAAGCAAGATTAGCCTCGAAGCCGGGACCTGATCACGAGGTAAGTCTTGATATTCTTAAGAGGGTGTTTAAACGAAACGAAAGTTGTCTCATTGAGTTTAAACAGGCGCTAATGCAAGTAATTATTGGGTCATTATTTGTAGATCTTTTTGTTTTTAAACCATCCTTGGCGACCGCCTAACTTTAGTCATAACATACGACGTTTTAGCGATGTTATGGCTATATTTTGTACTTTTATTTTACATAGTGACTGCTGCTAAGTCAATTAATTATCATTCGTTTGTCGTTAGTACATATCAAAGTAGTATAAAAACTTAAAACAAAAGCGACTTATTCAAGGAAATGCTATGTAAGTAGGGCGTCTTCTATAGGTTTGTAAATTCAATGATAAGCGCCCGAATTCCATAGTATTTTCTCGTACCTATACGATATAAGTATTTTAAAGTTTTTATTTCATGCTTTTTAGTAATATTGATATATTTTATATAATAGGTAACACAAAAAATATTATATTCTAGTTTTACGCCGGCGGCTTCGCCTTCGTGGTCTCCGGAACTGTTTATTTGGATATCGATTCATATCATGACACGATAACACGGATATAATTACAATGACAAATTGAGTAGTAAACAGTCGTTACTATGGCAACGTTTTCATTCCCTATACTAACTTCCACTTCCATTTCCATCCCTTTATTTGCTGTTTTTCGGGATAATATATATCCTATGTTGGATAACTCGAGAAAGTGTCCTCGGTGGGATTGTCATTTCTCTGGAAAAAAAAAATCTGCTTGCTTATGGGATTTCGGCGAATTCTGGCCTTGACTGCATTAACGACCTTGTTTGTTCGAATAGACCGCGGTCGGCCGGATCTCTCACGGTCATCAACAGACATGGTTTCAGTGTACCTTTGGATGGTACGATATATCAACATTCGGCTAATTCCTAGCTTTTTCAATGTATTAAAAATGTCGGCTGGCTCCTTACCTACTTTGTACAGTGCAATTACTGCAATCCTATTCTCTTAAGTGCCACACTCCATTTTAAAATCGAACCAAGATGAACCATCACGCGAACCAAGATCCGATTAACGACTGTAGATACAGCTGAGACCAACGGCCCAACGTGCCTTCCGAAGCTCAGAGGAGCTCGAGATAATAAATTTTTGGTCACCCATCCTATGACTGGCCCTTGCGAAAGTTGCTGCATATCCTCTCCGTGCTAATATATTATTCAATAGTGTAACATAATGTTGTTACACTATTAAGTTAAGTCCTACTGGACATGATTCAGTTTAATCACTAATCATATATGTGCCAAAACAAGCGTCAGCTTTAAACAAAGTGTGATTAATTTTCGTCTCCTTAGAAAACACATCATGTGCTAAAAATAGGTTTGCATTCAATTGAAGTAAAAGTAATATTTATGAAAGTGTATTAATTACTTCATACGTATTAAAAATACTTTCACTAAACCGGTATTTTGTATTGTAAATTAGGATAAGAATTTTTTTATCAATTTAATTGCAAGTGTTAATATGTCAAGTATTTAGTGTTCTTAGTATAGTAATCGAAATCAGACTATATCAGCGGAATAGATAATAAACTGGTCGGCGTACCGGCGTTAGAATTTGTCTAAAAATAAATGCAACGTTTTCGTTTATCATTTGTTTTGGTATTCGCGTGTCACGCAAAATCTTTTCACAAACGCGAAGTTTTATAGTGATGGTGAATAGTTTGACGCGACATAATCACGCGATATGTAAGAGCGCCTTTATAGTAGAAGTCGTAAAGTCTATATTGTAAAATAATTGTATCAGAAATTACATTCCGCAGACGGTCTATCAGAAATTCACAAGTGACGTGATCGTGGCGCGGCGCGGTCGTGTGTGGCGCGCTTTAGTTTGTTTTACTTTTTTATTTGGCGCTGTTTTCAAATATCGAATCCCTTTATGTTTGTGCTTGTGAATGATTGTTAGCGGGAAGTATTTGTTATGTTCTGTGTTTAATTATTGGAGTCGACTTTTTTTAAAAATTAGGTTTTATTCAATAACAAGATGAAGTTCAAAATTTTCAAGAAAATCATACGTCAGGTGAGCGATTGCAGTTGATTCAGGTGTTATAAACGCATGTACGGTAGAATGTTTGATTTTGTTTGATCTATTCAGATGTTTCTAGAAAAAATTATACTTATTTGTTGAGACACAAAAAATCCTTTAATTTTAAACTAGTTTTTTGAGATTGTCGTGTGTTTTTTAAGAGTTGAATGATTTAGTTATTCCCTATTTTAAAGTGTTCATTTTATTTTAAGACTCCATTTTAAGATGTTTTTAATATTACCCCTCATCAACACATTAATGTCTCTACTGCTGAAAATCGAATAGAAAAAATGGGCCATGACCAACCTCGTGGGCCTAGTGCGGATTAGTGGGTATTGGTGGGTACCGGATCAGATGGGACCAACGTTAAACGTGCCTTCGAAGCACGGAGGATTTCGAGATTATAAATTTTTGGTCACCCATCCTATGATTGGCCATTGCGAAAGTTGATTAACAACCGTATCGTAGACCGAGCACGCTACTGTGCCATCGACCTCCTTAATTTTAGTATTAGCTCTTAAATTATTTTACTTATTGAAGAGTAATGATATTTTTATATCAAACTATTCGTACGTGTCGTGTAAAAAAAATGTTGTTTAAATATTCGATAACTTAACAAAATATTATCTTCCCCTTAATATCTCTATAATATAATAAAAATAATTGAAGAATGAAACTATGAACCACATTGAAACACGATTTTGTTAGTAAAAAAAAACTTAACATGAACTAGGTACTTTGTGCGCATTCTCATGGTACTATTTTAACAATAAGATTTTAATATTTTATAATGCAGAGTAACGTTTTACGCTGCTTTATTTCGTTCGTTGTATTACGACAAAAAGGTATTGACCATTTTTTTATTTATAACATTGGCAGAAACAATATTTATTTTGTGCCAATATGTCTTATTGCTTAGTTCTCGTTATCGATTAGTCACATTAAACCTAAAATAGGTACTTCGTATGTGATAGGTGTCATGAGTATAATATTTGACCGTCGAATTCTAGTGACTTGGTCAGTGACTTGTTCTATATATATCATTACGTCATTCCCGGTTCTGGTGATATGAAGTTCTCTGTATTAAGAATATTGTTATTGTCATCTTCTGCCTATCAGGCTGCGTTCACAAACTGATTGTTAGCCGCTGACTGTGAGCAAGCGTTACGCAGGTGATTGCATTTTTTCATACATAATTACCTGCGCAATGACAATACAGTGCAGTCTTCAGTGACCGACTACCGCAGCACTGTGGACATTAAAGGTGTGAACATACCCTTAAGGTCTTCGCTATGGATGGAATTGTTCCAATCCTCCCTATTGGATTGATGGAATGTCTCATCGCCCACCACGCGAGCCTATTTGTTGATTGTTGGGTGTTAACGACTTCAGATGAAGCCAGGACCAACGGCCTTTTCAACGTCCTATCCGAAGCGCGGAAGAACTGGGGATAATACATTTATGGTCATCCATCCAATGACTGACCCATGCGAATGTTGCGTAACTCTCGCATTGTAGATCGATATGTGATGCAAATTATGGACCGACTCATTTTAACAGATAAAACTCATCGCTTTTAGTCTGTAATTTATTGTATATTGTATATAATTACTTATAATTACTCCTGGGCTCAGTGGTTACAGCAGTTGCCCGGATTGCGAAAGGTCATGATATGGGTTCGAGTGCTATCATAGAGTGCCAGGGACAAAGAGGGTTTTTTAAGCTTTTTTATTAAGAATACTATTCAGTATAGCATTGTGAATGCAAAATTGATCAAGTATAATAATTAAAACTAATTTTGATGCTCATATTGACTGAAAGAGAAAATTATTTCTTGTCGAGTTTCCATCATACCTATAAGATTTCACAACTCTGCACACAACTAGTTTTATTAGGATCAGGTTATATATAGTATGGTGCTCACTTGCTAAATGTTTTCCTTAATTATGAACCTGAAGCTTGTAAATTAAAAATTGGTAATAATTTATAATTTAAAATCCTTTAATAGCTTTATATAGGATCTGTGTGATTTTTTATTTATCGAACCTATAATTTGTTGCTTTTGTTTCGTTTTTGATAATTTCTATTTATGTTAATATTAATATTCGAAAAAAGCAAAACGGGCAAAACCTCTTCTTAAAATTGTTGAGTATGATTGCACGCACAGTTGTTCACATTACATGCCGGCGAAGCATACCTGTTTTCCATAGCGAGTATAAGTAGCATAGACAAATTGATATCCATTTATTGCAGTCTTGATCCTGACTCACCATTTGCGTTCAAAATTTATTATACATAATAAAAATAGGAAGACGAGTGTCTGATGGATGTCTCTGGATGTTTGGAGTATTGGATAGATATTGTTTGGCGTATTGTATGGTGCACTAACTCTAGTTTTAAGCTATTTACATTCCAATAAGTATTAACTTAATTTTTTATATTATTTCAAATTATTGCCATAGTGATCTCATAGAAACGATGATTATTCTATCAAAGATGATGCTTAATGTACGAAATAAAATAAGAAAATGCGATGTATTATTGCCGGTTATAAACTTTCGACGGATCTTTTTGTGGTAAGATTGTTTAAATTTTCAGCCTTAATTTTGTGTAAGGAAAACCTAACTCTCGCTACGTAGGTTGTCAAATTATCTGTATACAGACCAACTCCAAGGGCCACACCAAAGAGATTGTTTCGGACTTATTACCAGAGGTCGGAATTAGGTAGAGTTATTTATGTACTTGCATCGAAATGTTGATATTAATGTGGACCTTCCCGGGATTTCTTTATTTCTTTCTTTCATTGATGTAAATTTGGCAACGTCGTGCGTGCAGTAGTTTAAATTGTGTAAAAGTAAATAACATTTTATTTAAAAAATCACGGGATTTTTTCTGCTCTTTAAAATTAATCTCAGGATTTGAGGCATATCCGCTTTATTCTTT